TGCACTAGTCAACAAAAGAAGCTCAAAAGTTTAAAAGAAAAAGCTAGATAGTTCACAAAAAGCATACAAAACCTTACTTGATCAATATGAGAACTTTGCTAATCTCAATGTTGAACTATCTACTAAAATTGAGAAACTTGAGGCTAGTACAACAACAAATGAATGCACAATAAATGATGAGCAACTTGTAAAGAAAAATAAAAAATTAAAAAAAAAGTTAGCTAGCTCATAAGATGCTTATAAAAGTTTGCTTGCAAAAATGGAAACCATGTGCAAACATTGTGATGAGCTAACTAATAAAGTTGCTAATCTTGAAGCCGTTAGTACTACCTCCACCAAGGCATCTAAAAAGAAAAGTTCTATCTTTAACATATCTAAAAAGGATGCCTCTACTTCTTGCAATGATTTATGTCTAGACTCATCTTTGTGCAATCAAGTTTGTGTTGAGAAAATTATTGTAGATACATGCACACAAGATATTGTAAAGGAGAATGAGCAACTCAAGCAAGAAGTAGCTCGCCTCACCAAGGACTTGACTCAAGTGAAAGGCAAGGCGAAGCAAACCCAACTTCATCAAGATAACACCGTCAAGGGAGTGAAGAAGCTTGATAAAGGATAAACCGTGGTTTGTTACGTGTGCCACAAGGAAGGTCACAAGTCTTATGAGTGCAAGGTGAAGAATGGGGGAGAAACAAAGAAGAAAGAGAAAAAGCAAACAAGCAAGCTCTCTAACACCTACACCAACAAGGTGGACAAGAAGGCCTCCACACCTTATCTCTTGAAGAAAAAGAAAAATGACAAGGTGGTGGCCATCAAGGTGAACAAGCAAGCCAACAATGGGGTCAAACACTTTTGGGTGCCAAAGGAGATCATTTCCAATATGAAGAGCACCAAGAAGGTTTGGATCCCGAAAGGGAAGTAAGAAGTCCAATGGACTTTGGGAAATTTGGAGACTTGGTAAAGTTTGGGTGCATTTCATGGGGTGCATCATGATGGACAAAGTCATTGCCAAGTAGGTTAGTGAATACTATGGACCCAAATTCCCCTTCCCATGTTAGGTAACTAGATGTCATTACTTTCAATTAGTATTCATTTCAATTGGTATTGTTTTTCAATTGATATACTCTTAAAGCATCTAGTTATCTTTTATGCCTATGTTTGCATTTACATGCTTAAATCTTTTGTCATGCATTCAATAGGTATATCATATGGTAGGCTTGCTCGGTTTCATTATCAACCCTTGGAGCAAACCTACATGGTTTAAAATTATTTAGGAGCACGTCACATAGCTTGTTTTACAATTATTTATCTAATATGTGCCAAAGTCTAAATTGTAGATAATCTCTCCCAAATATCATCTTTCAAGTAGTATTTTGATACTTAAATCAATGTGCACAAATTTTACAAGTATTCAACACTTGTGTGCACAAATTGAGGGGGAGCTTATTCTACAAGTTGGATGCTTTGAGACTAACACCTCTTCAAGCTTATCTTGTGTGTAGTAGTCTCATTGCAAGGAAAATGGAGTCCCCGGAGAAAAGCATTATACTTCAATTGATAGAAATCAAATTGATTTTCACATGTGGTATTTCTAAACCGATATCACCATGTTGATCTCACTTTGATATTTATTTGTTTTCTCCATGCATTATATAGATTAACCTCTCTTGTGCAATAAATTGCTAATTATGCATATGCTTTGCTTTTTATCATATGTATGCATAAATTTAGGGGGAGCTTAGTCTATATAATGTGATAGTCAAGCTTTGTGACCTATTCCATGCTAATCAAATCCTTCATTTGGTTTACAAAGTTTGACCCTCCCTTGTGCTACTAATGTATTCCTTTTTGGGTGTTTGATGCCAAAGGGAGAGAATTTGAAGGACCAAAGACAAGCATTTAGTTACAAGTAATAATGGTCCGAGAAAGGGAGGAAAGTGAATTATGGATTAATCTAAGTAATGAGAGAATTTTTTTTAGAAAGCTAGGCTTTAATCCATAATATCACATGGGGACTTTTGCAAGGGCAAGACAAGCTTTTAAGTAAAGTTTTAATTGGTATCTGTCAATTAGTATCATATAACCTTGTCCTTTGCATTGCATCCTAGCAAGTAGGTAGTTTTTAATCTCCAAATTCTTATCATTTGCTTACTTTGGTTGTGTTGTCATCAATCACCAAAAAGAGGAGATTGTAAGGAAAATGGACCCTTGGTCCATTTACTTTGGATTTTGGTGTTTGATGACCAACACAACCAAATTGGACTAATGAATTTGCAAGTGTTTATTTTGTAGTTCAATAGGGTGCAAGACGTGACTTGGACGAAGGCGACGTGGTGATCCGATGATCAACACCTTAAGAAAGACCTTAGGAGCACAAGAAAACACCCAAGATGTCAAGCAAAGTCCAAGCATGAAGATAGGAACCAAGCCGTACGCAAGATCACGAAGAAACGAGCTCGAGAGAGGCGCCGGACCGGACGCCGACGGCCGAAGCTGGAAGCCTTGACAGACGCTGGACCGGTGGCTCGGCGAAGACAAAGCGATCGGACGGCGGCGGAGATCGACGCCGGACGCAGGGACGAGCCAGAGTCCGGTCGAGTACAGAGAGGTTCTAGAGTAGTGAAACTGCGACCGGACGTGTCTGGTGGCAGGTGACCTGGCGCGGGCAGCGTCCGATCAGTTTTTCGCAGCTCAATGGTCGGACGACGGACGCTCGTCGAGGATGACTCGGTGTCGGTCGAGCGTAAAAGCGGATTTCGTCCCCAACGGCTACTTTCTCAGTGGGGCTTATAAATACGACCCCCAACTGGCCATTTGAGACAAGTGGAGCTGAGGAAACATATCTAGGGTGTTGATACACCATTTTAGTGATCTTCACTTGCATAGTGCTTAGTGTTTCATTAGGTGATTAGCGTAGGTGCTTTTGCGAAGTGCTTAGGTTGATTAGACCACCGCTTATGCGCTTGCTCTAGGTTTAGGCCTAGTGTTTAGTGAGGTTTGCATACCTCTTACCACTCGGTGCTTGCGCGCACCATTGTTGTACATCGGAGGGGTTTGAAGTCTTGCAAGATCACACCAATCGCGTTTGTGGTGTGGCCGCCACCGTGTGCCAGAGGGAACAAGGCCCGTGGCGTTTCGGCCAGAAGCTTGATAGTGAAGACGGCGGGGAGCATCCAAGAGAGGCTTGCCGGAAGGCACGTCGGAGACCCACTTGCGTGTGGGGAAGGTTCGAGGCTATCCACGGAGTTACCCGACCAGGAGCTTGGCCCTTATGTGGGATTCCTTGCGAGGGGCTCCAACGAGGACTAGGAGGAAGCTTGCGTGCTTCTCGATACCTCGGTAAAAATACTGGAGTCGTCGACGGGAGTTTGCATATCTCTACCTTGCTCTTTAGTTTTCGCATTTACATTCATTGTATTACTTCCTTTCCGGTAGAGATAGCAACACACTAGCAAAATCGTAGTTGCACATTTGGATAGTTTATCTATTGCATAGGTTTTGCTAAGGGTAGAAAAAAAGGCTATAGTTTAGAGTTAGATTTTTAAGTTGCCTAATTCACCCCCCTCTTAGTCGTCTCGGCCCGTTTCACACTGCCCGCTTAGTAGCCGAGCATGTGATCGCCAAGGGTGTGCTGGACCAAGGCGTTGTGCATGTGCTCTCCCAGGGTGCTCGTGTAGATGCTCGCCTAGGGTGCTCATGCACCTTGCGCATGTGCTCACCCAAGCCGCCAAGTAGGTCCTCGCCTAGAGGTGCACCGGCGAGCTCCATGCGCTGCGCCGGCGTCGAGCTCCGCGATTCGTCCAAGCAACTAGGTGACATTGCGTGCTGAAAACGCATGTTGCAAGAGTATGTTTCAAGTGTGTCAGATGTTTCATCAAGATGTTGTAAGTGTTTCATGTGGATGTTGCAAAAGTAGATCAGAATATTGCATATGTTGCAATGGTTCTACACGTATATTGATTGTTCCCAATGTTTCAGCTGTTTATGTTGCAAGTGTTTTATCTGTATGTTGTGTATGTTTTTATGGTTTTCAGGTGTTGTCAAGTGTTTTTGTAAGTGTTTCAGATGCATGCTTTAAGTTTTTCATCTGCCTTAAGACGTATGTTGCAAGTGTTACATCTAGATGTTTTAAAGTAGATTGGGTGTTGCATCTCCCTCCTCGCTTTTCTGCTGCCTCACCTCGGTGTCTCCTCCTTCTCTTGACGCCAGCTGGGCATCCGCTGCCCGCTCCCCTCTTTTTCGATGCTGGTGACATTCGGGGCGGCACGGGCCCATGTGGGCGCAGAAAAATGGACTACATATGCGGCCCGAGCGACCAGGGCGGAGCAGGCGCGGGCGTACGGACACGCGCAACCGTCCAGACGTCTGGACGCTAGTCTTTCCCTATATGTATGGCTCCAGATCATATCCTACTCTAGGAAGGGTATATATTTTCTAGAGCTAGAGTTTTGCTAAATAGGGACAAAAGAATAAAATGATAATTTAAATAAATAATTATGGCGACTACAAGCAACAATCGTCATGTTCGCTTGTCTTATAAGCCGTACTTTTTTAGCCAACGAATAATATTTTTATCTCACAACGAAGCAGCCAACAGTACTTTCAGCCATGACTTATCAGCCAAGCGAACTGGGCAAAAACCTTTAGCAACATGAACAAGCAAGATCCAAACACCTTTAAATAGAGCAATAACGGGTTAAGAAACCATGGCATTGGCTTAAGAAAAATAGCTATTCGTAATATTCAGTGAGTTCCATCTTATATAGATTTGTTTCTTAAAAAGAACTCATCTAGTCGTTTGTCCTCGAGTGCTTGAGCCCTTTTTATTCTTTTACAAATTTATTAATAATTTTATACTCCTTGAATATATCGATCGATCAAATGATTACACCAAACATGCCTCCTTCGCCAATGCATATACCCGTACGTACGCACCTAATTAAGCCGTATGCCGACCCTACTACCTACGGTCAACCCCACGACACGCCGGCCTGCCGGTCTCACCGTGGCGGGGCGTCGCCGGCGGCGAGGACGGCCTCGAGCGTGGTGGCAACCCTGGCCATGGAGGGCCGGACCTTGGGGTTCTGGCTGAGGCAGTCGTAGGCGAGGCGGGCCACGCGCTCCAGCCCCATCTCCGGGCCCACCTCGCCCATCCTCCGGTCCAGGATCCGCTCCAACTTCTTGGGCCGGATCAGGATGGGCCGCGCCCAGTCCACCAGGCTGCCGTCGCGGGCCCCCGCCCGGCTCGGCTCCAGCGCGCGCCGCCCCACCAGCATCTCCAGCAGCACCACGCCGAAGCCGTACACGTCGCTCATCACCGTCAGGTGCCCTGCATTATTGCATTCTGTCATTGCAGCAGGTAGGCAGAGCGATCGACGTCGTCAGGGAAGAACAGAAGGTACGGTACCTACCGGTGGCTATGTACTCCGGCGCGGCGTAGCCGTAGGTGCCCATGACCCTGGTGGACACGTGCGTCTCGCCGCCCATCGGCCCCTCCTTGGCGAGCCCGAAGTCCGACAGCTTGGCTTTGAATTCCTGGCAGATCGAGAGAGGTACGACGACGGTGGTGAGTCTGATGCTTTTGGTGGCCACCGGCGCCGGCCGGGACGAAGATGAACCGACGATCGTAGGCAATGCAATAACGAACAAACCGCGTCGAGCAAGATGTTGGAGGTCTTGAAGTCCCGGTAGATGATTGGGCGGTCGGGGCCGTGGAGAAAGGCGAGGCCCCTGGCGACGTGGAGCGCGATGGCCACCCGCGTCGTCCACGACAGGCTGCAGGCGCGGCGGAACAGGTGGTGCTCCAGGCTGCCCTTGGCCATGAACTCGTACACCAGCAGCCGGTGGTCGTCCTCGCAGCAGTAGCCGATGAGCTCCACCAGATTCGGGTGGCTGTACTGCCCGAGGTAGCTCACCTCCGTCTGCACACGCAAGCATGTCCATGGACGGACGTGGGTGATCGAGATCGAGATTAATTCATGGAGATGCTGAATGGAGATGCCTGAGCCTGACCAGCCACTCTCTGTCGCCCTGGAGTCCCTCCGGGTTGAGCACCTTGACGGCGACCTCCGTGGGCGGGTACCCCTTGCGCACGGCGCCGTCGATGACCCCTCTGTACACGACGCCGAAGCCGCCCTCGCCGACGATCTGCCCCGGGTTGAAGTCGCCGGTGGCCTTCCTGAGCTCGTCGTACGTGAAGAGCTTGAGGCGGCCGTACGCCGACATGGTCCGGAACTCTTCCACGTCCTTGGGCACGGCCAGCACTAGCATCCCCTCCGACCCCACCTTCCTCAGCTTTGAAGGGGCCGCCGCCGGCCTCTGGGCCTCATCTGCGTGCATACGCGGCGCGATCGGAAACGCAGATCATATATATATATCGAGCATGGATGCAAAGCGGCGGCGGAATCGAGGCCGACTCCTCCAGGTCAGGTGCGTGCGTACATCGACGGCGGGCCGACGACGACTGGCGCGGCTGGCGGATGTCGCCGCAGCTAGGGAGGATCCAGCGATGCATTTTCCGGAGGAACGGTATGTGGCTGATCATTCAGCTTGGGTTGGCTCGTTCGTCTGTTCCTCCCTGCTGGCCGGCGGTGTCGATCGGGGGCCGGGGGCGGCCGACGCGAGCGACGGCAGCCTCCGACCACGCGCGCGCGCACGCCGGGGAGAGACGGTACGGTGTGCTCTCGGCCGGGTCGATGCCGATGGAGGAGGCACGGTGAGCTGCTGTGGGAGAGACGAATGAATAGGCAGGGACCGGAGACGAGCGGCCCCCGAGCTTTTGGGTGGCCAGCTCGCCTCGCCCCCTGCCTGCTTGCCTTAATTTGGAACGCATGCAACAGCGAGCGATCCACGCGCTCACGCAGCTGCTCCGTGCATGTTGGTCAGCCCGTCAGCCGTCGCGGCAGCGCTGGGGCACTGATGCTGATATGAGCAAGCTCGATGTCATCAAATCTCAAGAACGCTCTTGGTAAATTTTTGAAAAAAAAAAAAAAGTACACATTACCTCCCTCAATTTTTTTGGGAAAGTCCCGGGTAAACCGCTTCCTGAACTTTTAAAACCATTCTCGTTGACCGGCTATAAGCGGTTTTTAAAGACGGTTTAGTCTTTTTTTTTATTTCGGCTGAATCTTTGGAAAATCATAGTAAATCACAGAAAAATCATAAAATAGAAAATCCAATTTTGTTAGATTCATATGAGTAGATCTACACGATGAACATATAATATGGTATGCTTTAGTACAAATTTTTTTGTTGTAGCTTCAGATCTATGCTTTTCAGTAATTAATTCATAGCTGTAGTTTCTATGGTCCAATTATGGTGGAATTTTTCTGGTGGACTAATTATTGTATGCTTGAACTGTAGTAAAATTTCATACTCATTAGATCATGTATAACTTATTTATAGATTTATATTTTTTAACAAGCATACACCTAAATAAATCGGGCCTATTATTCGGGCCTTTAACAAGGAGAGAAAAGCCAGCAAATATTCGGGCCTTTAACCTGGCCTGCAAGAGCAATCGGGCCTATTGATCGTATGGGCTATTCTTTGGGCCAGGCTCAGCGTGTTCAACGAAGCACTCTCTCTCCTGACAGCGAGAAGGCGCACGGGCACGCGCGGGGCAACTCCATAGCGGTAGCGGCAAATGCGCGCAGAGGAGGGGCCGTACAGCCGGAGATGTTAGGGTTGTCGTCGGAGAGGGCAATGCGGAGGGAGAGCGTCGGCCGTGCTAGGTTCAATGAAGCGCTGACGCCGCTATGGGCCTTGCCCTCGAGGTTTCGCGGCGAGGTAATGTTCGCAATTTTTTGTTTTCACATCAAATTTATTCGTACTTTCTGAATGCTCCTAAATTCTGGCTCTTCGTACTTGGGAGAGTCTGCCGGAGGTCGAGGGCGGGAATTTTTAGGATCTCCCCGACCAAACAAACTTGCTATCCATTTCTGTTTCGCTTAGTAAAAACATGCAAAAAATTGAAGTAATTACGGTCATATTTGTTAATTGTTATTAGTGTGTTGATGTTGACACTCATCCGTAAACTCCATATCAACCAGGACCACGAGTAATTACAAAACTGAGCTGCAGAAATCAGCATGATCATGTGTGGTATGTACCTTATATAAGAATAATTATGAATTACTGGATGGACCCATTCAAATCATTATGAAACCAAATCGTATTACAATTTTGAATAAATGCAGTCTTGCAAATGTTTGGTTCAGAACACCAGAGTTTCAATCCTAGCTTTAGCGAAAAATCATTATCAATCTCATACATTAACGACACAATCTTATTTTGGACCACAACAACTGGGAAAGGCAGCAATTCATCATTTGGAATTAGTTCCACGACACACTGACTCCGCTTTGCTGAAGAAAACATAATACTTATTCATAACGCATTGCAAAGATGTGTAGACTGCTTGAGCAGGAGAGGGAGTTTGCCTGTCGGCGATTACTGAGACAGAGACCTGCAATACATATTGGTGACTAAAGTGACTCCTTTTGCAACTTTTTGAAGGCAGAGGCGGTATGAATTATGCAGTATTCATGGCTACACTAATGGATGCTCACCGGAGTGTAATGACGGGTTCGATTTCAGCTTCTTGTGTAGTGGCTGCTGCGGCGATGTGCTCATCAGCCGTGTTCTGGCTTCCTTCAGTAGTATCAGGAGCTGTGTTCTGAATCCCTTGGGTAGCAGCGGTTGTGGCGGCGGGACTGGCTGCTGTTTCCTGGTTTCCTTCAGTGTGGAAGTGCATGTCAATGTTGTGTGGCTGTACGATTGGACGCCCGCTTTCTTGTTCGATGCCCTTACTGAAGTCGCTGTGCATTTGAGCCAGATGTACCACCTTGAGATTCTTGAAACCACAAAGGTTTGCTGGTGGGTTCTTGAGTTTGCCACATTTTGCAAATACCAGCTCCTGGAGGCTGTTCATGGCACCTGAATGGAATGTGCATTCTATCAGGTTTTTCATGGAGATGATGGACAACCTTCTCAGTCTACGGTAGCCTCCATCTGTGCAATCCAGTATCTCCGATGTGGAGGCGTTGCATAAGGAGAGGACGAGGAGGTGTTGAAGACCTTGCAGTTTAGATAAGGGATCTTCGTGCAAGTTGCTGTCCCAGAGATAGAGGTAGGTGATGGATTGCATCATTGAGAGGCGATGATTGCAGAGTGGCCCCATATCACCACCGAGTTTCAGCTTGTCAAGGTTTTTTCCAATTTTCAGGGATGTTACATCAAACTGGCCCCCCTGACATGTCATTGTCAGCGATCGAAGGAACTCCATCTTGCTGATTTGGCGACAAATGCCCTTGGAGACTTCACTTGGCACCTTCTTAATTGACAGCTTTCTAATGAACTGGAGGTATGATAGCTGTTGCTCGAAAGACAGTCCTCTAGGAGACTGCGGTCCATGCTTAGCACCTGCCAATGTTTGCAGATTACTCAACAAGTATAGGCCTTCTAAGATGTGGATGGACTTGTCACGGAAAGCGTTTGAGAGGAGGAGATATCTCATCTCTGTGAACGCTGAAACGCTGTCCAATCTTGTTATGTTTGTGTCCCTGATATCGAGGCACATCAGGTGCTTGAGCCTCTGGCAAGATGAAGGCAGATGCTCCAACTGTGTTCCCCGCAGGCCTAGGTAGCGCAAGCAAATAAGGTACCCAATACTGGACGGCAGGCGGTCAAGATGGGCTCCCTGTAGTTCTAATGTCCGTAAAAGCTTGTATTTCCGATTAAATGACAGTTCAAACTTCTGATGCTCCATCTGAGTTCTAAAATACAGCAGGCAGCGGAGTCGGATATCTTTAAGTGCAACCAATGCCTCATCAACACTGCCATCTCTGTGCACAGCAACCATGCGATAGCGCTCTGGAAGCGCCCTCTTCCTTCTGGGATGGAAGTGATCTCCCCTCCTGCTGGGGGTGGTGGGGATAGATGCCTCACTCTCACTCCCATTGTCAGGCTCAGACTCAGATAAGAATCGGCAGAACTTTTGGAGCTTGCACATTCGTAAAGCCAAGCCCTGGATGTCCTTATTGACTGTGTACTTCACCTTGCCATCGATGTGCCCCTCCTTTTTCTTAAGCAGGCCCCTCTTGGTGAGTTCGTCTAGAAGATCCTCTGCTTCTTGCTCTTGGCTCTGATGTGGGCTATCTTGCAGGAATCCTTCTGCCATCCACAGACGGATAAGCTTCTTCTTGGGGATCCCAGCATTCTGTGGTATCTCTGAGCTATCCGGGAAAGCCAGGCAGTATAAGAAGGCAAGCCGAATGTCACCTGGTGATTTATCATCCTCTAGCTTTATAGTCCGATCACGCCTGTGACGACGTCTGGTATCATTATCGTGTATTATAATACCATCCATCCGTTCCATGATTTCCCTCCATTTCTTATGGAAAGATTTCTCTTGAAGCAATGTCCCCATCATGCATAAATTCCATGGGTTGCCCTGGCATTTTTCCTGGATCCCATCCAGGATATCCTCCATCTTATCCAACTCATCTGTAGGTAGATTTGGACAAACTCTAATGAGAGCGTTACGAAACCCATCATCTGGAGGAGTATAGTCGGGGAAAGCTGCACGCCTGAGTAAAACGCGGGCCTCATTATCTTTAAGTCTGGAAATTGTAACGACCTTATGCTGCCCAGCTATTTCTGCTTTTTGTGCCAGGCAGATGATCTTCCCCCTTTTTGTTTTAAAGGACGGCAATGGGTCATTCAGGACGTGCATAAGGCTATTCAAGACACCAGTATCTTGGACATCATCCAATACTATCAAGTAGTTTTCCTCGTTGAAGGTATCATAGACTTTCCTGATTATCTCAAGCTCATCAATGGCACTGGGATCAACTGATGATCCTTCCAGCACCTCTCTCAGTAAGCCAACTAGACCTCTGGCCTCCGATACATTCACCCTGGAACGTAAGCTGAATTGGTTCTTGACATAAGTGTCTTCATACACCTTGTCTATTAGGGTTGTCTTCCCTGAGCCCTGCCCTCCGATGATAAAGAGCACCTGATGATCATTCTCGCTTCTCAGAAAATCCATTACATCTTTAAATTCCTTCTCCATTCCAACCACTCTGTCAGCCGAGACAAGATTAGAGTATCGGGTGAAACGGGATATTTCAGAAAGCTTTGCTCTGATTTGCAGATCAATTGGCATTTTCTTTAAGTGAGTTTGGATATTCTTAGTCAGTTTTTCGATCGACATCTTCCCAATAGCAGACTTCAAAGAATATAACTGATATTTATCGAAATCCTGTGTTGAATACATGGCAATCTGATCTTCCAAGCGAAAAGCATCCAGTTGGGTGTCAGCTAGCCAGCTGCGT